AACACTTTCGGCGGCTTTCGATTGCCTCCTCTTAATGGCGAAACTTTATGAACTAATTTTCATAACCTTAAGTTTATTTTGCCAAGGGATGCAATTAAATTTCGGAATATTGAATCAAGTAGGATTTCGGGTTGCGAGTGCTGGTATTAGAGGATTGAGGGAATTATGATGAGAATCTTGTAGTTTTGCTCAAATAGTTTTGACGTAACGACTCGGAAATCGATTTGTAAGCAGCACATTTTCAACATTTTTACTGTTGACGCTTGCATCTGAACAGTTCTAAGTTTTTCGATCTTACTTTACTGTTAGTCACTCACGCATGTGAGTTGGATTGAAACAAAAGTGAAAGATGATGTGGCCTCACTTGTTCAAAACCACAAGGTAGGCAAGGCAATTTTTACAATCTCCAATGCGGCAAATTTATAAAAGCGAATTCGACTGGCTTCCAGGCTAGGCTGCACGTTGTTTTTAATATCTAAACGGTCATATTTCTCTTTGGTTGTCTTCGCCCATAATAAAAACAAACGACTGACGACAGTCGCTCCCCTAAAGGAATACAATCACGCAGTAAAATTTAAATGCAGGCGGATTTTTAAATCCTTAAATGGTGCGTGCGGTTTAAATATTCTGCTGAGACGCTATTTCCTTCGGCATTCTACTGGATTTATGGCTCGCTTTCCGGCTGTATCTTATTTCGTTTTTGATTTTTCAACAGTCGCGCTTGTCTTTGGCTCAAAAGGGAGCAGCAACGCAGATTTGGAAACGGGCAATTTCGTAATTTTTCTACCGATCTCGTTACTCAAATTGCATTTTCAGCGTCCATAAAAAGCAAGTGAACCAGGGAGAAAGTGTCGCTGAGGGGACGCAAGGCGCCAAACGGACACCCATGTGCGAATCTAATTTGCTTAGTGTGCCTGCGTTCATTTGTTCAAATTACGCAGACGACCATTTCGGTCCCAGCGGGCCAAGCCGAGGATCGACCTTCATTTATTACAAAAAGAAGGTGCAGCAGTGTTCTTGGCCGACTGCGCCAAGTATCCTCATGTTGGGAGACCCCAAATTCAGAATTAATGATTGCTTTTATTGAAACTTCAATTTCTTGATTAGGCTTCCACGCTGTTCTTATTGTCTCGAGCAGAAGCCTTGGATTTGAATTATTTTCGTAATTTGCCGGGAATTTTCCGGCAAACCTGCCAATTGGGTTTGGCAATTTTGTGGAAAATTGCAGATGGGAAAAACAAATGCGAATCCTCCTGAACCCAATCACGCCTATGAGTGTCCCGTCCTAGATTTGTGATAAAAGTGTAAGTCTCTTAAGTAATATTCATTGTGTTATGTTGTCGTGAGCTCCTTCTAACTGAAAGCCTGAGAAAACCGCTCAAACTCCTAAACAATAACATAATTTACCATATTCAAACTTAAAAAATTGACTTTAATTATCACCTAAGTTCAGATGTCCTTTGTCATTTATTGGGAAAATATACGAAATTACCTCTGCCACGTATTTGAAATAAAAATATCTTCTTTGGCGAAACCCCGATTGTCCATTACTCTTGGAAATTACGACACATTTCAGAAATTACTGTCTGACAAAAACTCGATATTTTCCAGACTTCAACCTTTTGAGGGTCAAACAAATAGCAAGCGCTCTATTGCGTCTAAGCAGACGCCCACCCTTTAGTAGAGCGGATTCTATAAAACACTTATGACGAGCATTTACCTTTAACGTATTTTGCAATTGGAACCTGTTATCAAAATCTAGAAAACTGTTTTATATAGACTAAAAAAACAGTGGATTCAATAATAATATAAGCATTTGTTGCAGCTGATAAGTCGTTGCCAAGATAGTGGTTGCAAATGTTCTAGAACAAAATAGTGTTTAATTTTCTTAATAAATAAAAGCTCTAAAGTAATCTAATTCATTTGTAAGAATATTTAAGTTTGTTGTACTCGAAATGCAGAAATGAATCTGCTCACTTTGTTTTTTGGTTAATTTTCACTCATTAATTTCACAAAAAATTGGGAAAATAATTAGTTATTCCGAAAGTTGGAGATAAGTTTTGTAAATATTGATAGAGAAAGATCTGGACACTAATTGAGAATCCAAAAACTGTATTATATGCAGGATGTCTTATTTAAAATAGCAAAGTTGATAATACTTTTCATTTAAGCGGCAACGTGGGGTTGCTGAAAATATTTTAAGTCGGTAGATCACGCTTTATTATAGAAGCAGTCAAAATTTTAGAAGAATCGAAAGTTGCATTATTGAACCGTGAGTCACCCTGTATATTTAGCACGCACCCTGTATATTTAATCAATTTGCGAATTCAAGAGTCCAAACGCCCACTGGCGGCTAAACTATAGACTACACTTAACGAGTAACATTTGACATTCAGTTTGTTTACATGTCACTCGCTCCCCGGGCACACAGCGCCCCCATCGGTAGTTAAATGAATTCGCTAATTGGCCAAACATATTTCCAACTTCTCTCTGTGTATAGAAACACTTTGTACAATTTGTTGGAATTATCCGCATATAAAAAATGCCCAAAACTTTAAAGGGTTTTATAAAATAGTTTCATGTTAAACTGTCACTTAGACATCAACTTAAACTGTCACTTAGGTGTTATTTTCAATCACCCTCTATGTAATCAACAACAAAAATCGAGTAGGTTAAAGTGGAAATATTGCAAAAAGCCAAAATCACATCGATCAAATCCGCAAAACTGAAAAATCCGTGAAAATAGTTTTAAATTTCACTTACCCTTATACTGGCATGGTCGGTACCCGAAAACCCCATTCTGATAGTCCTAAACCAAGATCATGAAAAATCTTGAGAAAAGCCCTGGATGTTCCCAAAACTCCAACTCTCCATTTTATTCCGGCCTGATTGCTCGTTGTAGGCCCACGCCAGCAGAGCAAATAGTCGTGTATGTTGATGACAGCAAACGTCAAAAAATATCCTTTTCGAAAAAAACGCGTTATTTCTGCGGAAATCGCACTACCGATTAAGGAAATACAATAAAACGGTTGATTGAAAATTTAGATTTGGGAAAATCATTAATTTTCTACATGGAAATGGAAAAATCTTGGGATTTTTCGAAATATTAACGGAGCGAATCACGCACGGTGTTCCCTATTTACCATTAAACAATCGACTAAATTGACATGGTAATCGATGCGCACTTGAAAGTATATCACTTGACACTAATGACAGTTTGGAAATACGTTTCCACGCAATTGCTTGGCAAAAATGACCTCAATAATGAGTTTTTTCTGATTTTGGAGGTCGGTGTCTGGAAAATTTTGTATACGTTTAAGACATTTTTTTCCGGATCATTCACACCTACATTTTATAAATATAAATGACCTCTTTTCCAAATAAAGTCAGGTTAGCCACAGCTTTGCGAACAAAAAGAAAGGACAAGCGAAGTATTCAAGTAAATAAAAATATCATCAGTTAAATAATTCCTCTAAAACATAATAAGTAATTAATAAATGTAGTGGCATGGTTAATCTACGCTCGTCTATATCTTGGCTGGGCTGACCGCTGAGAATGTTCCGGACCTCAGCAGTGCTTTTGGTCAGCCGCACAGCGACCCCGCTTGGTCACATTCTGGACCGACATCGGCTCACCAACAAACAACTTCTAGGAGCGGGACATTTGTTACTTGGAAATTTGATTTGGCTCGCAATCGATCGCCACTATCAAGCAAACTTCTGATTAACTTCAAATTTATGGCTCCGGCTTTTTTGTCCAATATTTGGCCTCAACTCGATAATGTCGTTTGACCAATTTAGTCCCGCCACGTTCAAATGAAAACTAATGTATATTTGTTAGGGAATGTTGTGGATAAGAAATCGTATTGAGGACTTTCAAACGTTTCTTCGAGAAACAGTTGAAGCCGAAAACGAATCAAGTATTTAGAACAAAAGTAGGCATAAAAAATATAAAAAACAACCGAATCCGATGGATCCTCAACTATTTTAGTTACTCTATACATGAAAACGTTATCCCATCACTGAATGTTTCCTATGCAGTTCATCCAGCACCAATTTCCGATATAATTACGGTCCTCCGGCCCATTTATGCAATTTACTTTGCTGGACAAGGGGCATAAATTAAGCTGCCCTTTAAGATGACTTCCCGATCCTTCTGTCCCGTTTGAACATGAAGGGTCAACGCGACATGGCCACTTAGGTAACTACGTCCGGCTTCTTGGGCACGCCTTTTGTCGTGTCTTCGCATTCTGAACTAAATTATTCGGCTAGTTTTGCTAAATAGCTGGATATTTCTACGAACATTAAGTGGTCTTGAAGAACAGCTCTTGCATGGCATTATGTGGAAATTCCAAAATTAAAATCAAGTCCTGGGTTCTTCAGTCATTTATTTATTGTTCATTTATCAATTTAAAAAAACGTTTCGGTGTTTGGAATTGAAACACAGTCAGGAAAGTACGTACAATTATGTGGAAACCAGCTGCAGGAATTAAGTGAAAGATAATTATTAAGCAGCAGGAGGTGGATTAGGGAAGAAAAATGAAACTGTTTAGAAAAACTGGCAGAAGCAACCCTCTTGGGTTGTAACGTAAAGTGGCTAAAATGAGCGGATCTTACCAGAAAGTGTTTGCACAAAGGTACGTACTTACCTATTTTCGCCTCAAGCGGTCGCGCTCTTAACATCAGTTAAGCGTTAAGCGATTTAGTAATTTTCCATTTTTCAAACTCAAAGCCAAAGCGTGTAATTTCTTTAACTTAAAAATTCTTCTTGTCAATAACAGACCTTTCACAAAGACCAGTTAATGACAATCAAAGTGGATCTTTTGTTGTCAACAACTCTGGGACTTAAGAACTTGCCATGTAGCCATACCTGCAATTTTAAGACCATCCTGTACATAAATAAGTCGTGGATTGTTTATACAACAATTTTATTTACAAAATGAAATTTTAACAAAACACAGTCTGGAAAACAGTGATGTTTATTTACATAACACTTAAATACATATTTTAGATACATGAAATATACAAATGGGCCTTACATTGCACGACAGTCGTGATATTCCAAAAATGCAAATCAAACTTATTACAGATCCCAAAGTTGTAATCAAAGCCCTCGAATTGAAACGCAATAATCTAAATTGCGAAGAAGGGGATTTAATAAATCCATAACTGAAGATAAAATAAAGTCAAATCCTTTAATATGGTCTCCATACATCAGAGTTCCTGATTCCATTCCCCTTGCCACTTTTTGCAACCTCCTTATTAACTCCACCAGCATCTTCCTTCTGCCTTATCAAGGTGACCACCGCTTTCCTCCCTTTCACACTCAAATTAACCCCTTCCAGACTCTTTTTACTATCATCCTTCTCCACTGGATCTGGATCTTTCACTTTTGGACCTCCAGCTTCCTCCTCTAGCTCCGTCACATCGACTTTCTCGCTTGAACTATCAGGATTCTGAGAAACGTAATCCTCTGGAGGCGAAAGAATCGACGGCACAAGAGACGGATGTCTCAGATTCATCCAGTTCCAATCGCTAGGGTAAAGCTGCGAGTACAGCCACTGGCTTGGAGGTGGAAGAAGAGGCGTATTCAAAAACAAACTGGCAGCCAAAGCATTGTTGAACAGTTGCTGCTGGTTGTTCTGGGAAGTAGGAGGCGGCAGCCCGGAGAACGATGGAGCTGTTTGGGGGCTTGGAGTAGGAGAAGCGGTTACTGATATGTCGTCTTCTTCAGGTGATTTGGAACTTTCGGCTGTAGTCAACAATCCGGCGGTAGGAGATGCTTTAGGAGACGTCGTACTGTGGGCGGAGTTACAATTAATTGATATGGGACCCAATGATGTGGAAGTCGCCTCTGAAAACATGAAAAATATATAAATCAATTGCTGTTGGTTTTTGTAAAAATTCTGGACTAGGATTAATCCAGGTTATTGAAATTCGATGTCGGTACTACAAACGAAGAAGCACAATAAACAAAGCAATAAACAAAAATGGGTCAACAATACTAATTGTTCAATTTCTAGAGGTTTTTTCTTTTGAATGTGCATTAAGAATTTTTTTAGCAGTTGAGTATTTTGGCACAAATTTGAAGGCTTCTGAAAATCTCTATGCCAAGCTTTCGCATTGTTAAAAAATTAAACAATTTAAATATCCGTTATGCTAATTTGAAAAATATTTACATTTGGATATTTTTTTTAAATTGTCAAATATTTTTGTCTTTGCGTTAGATCGCGATGTCCAAAGAATAGACTAGATTAGAGTATTTTATTTAATATACAAAACAAATTCCAAGGACGCATCACTAGAAATAGGATACAGAGAATAATAATATATTTAAAAAAATACATAAAATTTAACAAATCAAAGAAAGACTATTGTCAACACTACAAAGATATTGTAATAAGTGTTAAGTGTAACGGAAATTAAATTATAATTTTGGAAACTTTAAACCATTTCTTGTGAAACAAGGCATTCGTTGTTATTTTATAGAATAAATTCACTCTCTTTAACATTTTTGTCAGTTTTCAGCTAAAATGGTTCAAACATCCAATTGAAATCAAACAGTTCAGTAGATATTTTGTTGCTTTTAAATAGTAATCAAATGCATATATTTTGCACATTTTATAAAAGTTCAAATATAGTATTAGTTATTAATTTGGCGCGTTTTTTATTTATTACTGTCTGTCCATGTTTTTCTACTTCTCGTACACATTATGTGGAAAGTTGAAATAGTTCAATTAGTTCAACAGAAAGAGCCAGTTAGGAAACAAATCAAAACAACAAGAAAAAATGTATAAGAAAAATCATAAAAAGTGTGTGGAAAGAAGATACTGTCTAAGGCAAATTTTAAAATAAAATTCGAGTGTAATTTTGATAAAATTTTAAACATTTTGTCGCATTGACGATATTATTTTATTTGATGTTGACTTTCCTCGAATCTTGCTTGATATAAATGCGAAAACTTTTGACTTGTTCACAGTCACTGCAGCCGTATGGATGTTTATTATCGATCACTTCTCATAGCGATCAGTGCATGAGGCGAAAGATCGTAAATATAAGCACTTAAGAAAGGGTTTCCTTGAAGTGAACTTTTTTGAGAAAAGCGTTATTAAAATTTTCTTGCAGCTTGAGCTTTCGAACATTGCAAACAGATGAAACTGAGGTCTTATGTACACTGAAAGAAATATTCCAAATGCGCATTTCTAGACCACAAAGAATTTTTCCGAAGTGCTAGTGCAACTCGCTAAAACCCAAATATTTCACAAAAATAATAATGCCAATTGCACATACAGTTAAAACAGAAATGTTCACATAAAAACGAAAAAATTATACAAACGCTTACCATTGGCTATTCTTGGCGAAGTATTCAATGGACGGTCTAAGGCTGCAAACATATGTGGAGGGAAATGAGGTGGATGGTGATGATGATGAGGCATTAGCGGCCCATGAGGATATGGATGTCTGGCTCCCAGAAAAGCCCATTCATGTGGATGACCAGGCAGTCCAGCAAGATGATGAGCTATACCTGAAAAAAGGCGTTTATCAAAAAACGATCTGAAATGTAATTAAAAAGATTTGCTTTAAGGAGGTTGTAAGAGTCTCATCTGTAAAGCATAAGAGTGATCTGAAAATTTTTCAGCAAATCCGTCTTTTTTCAGTTGGATCGGTTCAACGAAATCAGTTTTAAAAGCTTTGGGAAAATATATTTGGAATCTTAACAATATTATTAAGAAATAAAATTCCTATAAGAGAATATCGGTTTTGTTTTCCCAAAACGAATGAGCTCTTAAATGGGTGAGTTCGAGTTCTTCATAAGAAGATTGTACTAAACTGTAAATTTGTAGATCAGTTAAATACAGTTTCGACCTAAAATAGTGTGGAATTTCAAGAGTTTGATAGTTCGTCTATATTCGAATTTCCCATATTTTCCGAACTGATGTGAATGTAAAATTGCATAAATAATTTCCACAGCAATAACGTTCAAAGCATTATATTAATTTATTGCCATAAATTTACTTTATTTATGCACGCGCGACAGATTACGCTGCGAATTAATTACAAATGTTAAATTGATATGAATTTTTAATTAATTAATTGAAGAAATCAAATATGTAAGTCATCGGCAAAATTTCCAAAGTAGCATCTGCTAATGTCGAGCATTTTATTCAGTAACTCGAAATAATGCTCCAATCAAGAACATCTATAAAATTAGGCTTTTCGAATGTAATTTCAATTTATGATAATCTAAGTAGATTTTACTAACAACCATCAACTTCAACAGCTGCGAGAGCACGCTCCAGTCATTAGGTACAAATCATTCAAAGCAGAAAAATTGTCCTAACTTCTTGACCGACTTTTTATGTAATACCCGCCATTCTTCCCGCTTTAGCACGGATTAGTTTAAGACAGTGAAAAGACAAAAAGTACTACACCGCCCCGAATTTAAGAACTTTTTAATCTGCCGATAAAACCGTTACTCTGTGTAAACAGCGCCCTAAGGATTTTTCTGTCCTTCTTATGGATTTAATTAGAACGCCGGGTGACATTTATCTTGGCAGGGCCGAATAAGCTGTGCCCGTCCGAAGGCGATTATTCAAACCCTTTAAAACGGAACCGTATAATGCCACTCTGGTATTAAAGGGTGCTACTAGTCGGCGTCTTTCAAATGTTAAGACCGACGCGGTTCGTTAGACTTAGTTGGATAATCATGAAGGTCGCAGAAATATGACTGAATACTTTACTTTGTCTCAGATGCAGCACGTTCACTGCCAAATGGCTTCAAGCTACCTGACTAGGAAATTAATTTTCAAATTGTGCTTGATGCAATTTAGCACCGAAATTAACATTCTAATCCTTCTACTGAAAGTGCTCAAGTCTGATTATGCCGGATGTACAAGGTATTTCATCAGTGAATTATCCAAAAGAATTTTCACTTTAAGCAGCTTCAAAAACGGTCATAATAGTAGTAAACCAAATGAAGATAAAAAGTGGTCATTCAATGGCTTTCGATTATGATCAGCTAACAACCCTTAAGCACGAAGCGAATTGATTAGATAGGAAATTTTCCAAATAATCGTCTAATTAAAAAGGGCTAATGCAAACACCGTCCGTCTAAAAACCTCGCAACAAATTCCCAGCCAGTAAAAATAATTAATGGCGTTAAAACATTATTCCGTCTAGTTTGCTTGTTGACCTTTTTTCATGACCCGCAACCGAGCAACCCAACACGGGTTCCCTAAGATGCCTCATTGGTTATGGTAGGGAGAGCCGCAACCTCATTGGAGGGCCGCAGCACTGCGACCATCAAGATCTATGCAGATACGTGTTTTCCAGATAAATAGTACGAGACTCTAGGCAAAGCTTACCACATTTTCCATCCAGTTGGGAAATTGCAGACATATTTATCTAAGCTATTTAAATGTGATTTTTCATAGCCGAAGAAAAGTATTAAATATTAAAAAATTTATCACATAATTTATCAGTGCATGACACACATGTTGTTTTTCTTTCAATGACATCATTTAACATAATTTTTGACTGTATGATACACATTAACCCATATATTATGCAAGGTTATTTAAAATTAAGTCTTTAAAGCCCAAAAAAATTGAACAGTAACTTAGAAACATCATCAAACATTAGGAGCACGAATATTAAATCTCCGATAATTGGCCCCAGTCATAGTGTCCTCGTCAAAAAATAATTCTTGTTATTCTCGTTAACTACCTCTACGCCTGTAGCGCCCACATGTTTTTTTCTCGAAAAACCCAACACCCACATAAACTAATAAATTGATGCAGATTATGGGCTCGGACTAATCGAAACCATGCAGGCATTTTCCTTATCCGGTGGCGCGGCTCGTTTCTAGGAAGCTGCGAACTTTCCAGTTATTGTTTGCAGGAAATATGGGGATTATGTTCCGACAAAGACGTCGTCCTACCTACGGGAACTGCTGGATCTTGTGTTCTGTTTAGGCCACGTTAAATAGCAACGAGAACTCAAGGGGGTATTACTTCGATATTTAAGTGCAGAATATTAATTAGAGCGAAATAGAATAGAATATTTCGAATGATGGAGCTGGGGAAGGCAGCTGAGCTTGAACTTCGATATTAATTACAAGTAGTCAATTAGTAAATTAAAAATTTATAGTTGACTGACTTGAAAATAAGACATACTATTTTATAAAATTTGGGTGCAACGATTCCTCAAATAATTAAGTATTCTAGCAATAATGTTTTATTTGTGCTGTATAGGAACACTTTGCGTTTTTATTCCTATTTTCTCATTACTGCTTTTCTTCTATATCTTTAAGCAGTTTGATTAGATTTATTTGAAATTTTGAGTCTATAAAAATTAACACCTGGAATTGCAACGGAATATAATTGAAGCTTCGTTTTAGAATGTTTAACGAAACTTTCTAACTTTAATTTATATAATTCAAATCACACCAAATAAATTGTGTTTTTATTCGAATGAATCAAAAAGTGCCATTTTGCGAACAGAAGCGATGATAAAAAAGAAGCACTTTTCTTTAGCGTTCATTTGTTTTACTTTTACGCACGGACTT